TCTTGAACTGAGATACTGAGAAATGTGATATAATTTTATAATTAATAAAATGCAGGCAAGCAATAATATTTATCAAAGATTGCCTTGAGATCAACAGTTAATGTAGCAACAGTCGTATTTAACTCATTCGCCCCTGACATTTCATAATGAACCATTCCAACCTTTGAATTGGAGGAGTTCAAATGAGTCTTCAGGGGTGAATGAGTTAAAGAACCTGCTAAAGAGATCTGACAAAAGCTCCCCTTCACCTTGCTTTTCTAGACCTTAGCATCTATACTCCTCCGGGACGGGTGTAAGGTCAATGTTTGTTGAAATAGATAGAAAGTCGGGGTCGAGTGCAGGGTGAAAGGTGAAGGTGACCTTGTGTCAGGTGTGTAGGAGTGATAATCCCTAGACAGCGACTGAGCCTGTTATGACTAAAGAATCTACTAATAGATACGCTGTAAACAGGCACACACTCCAAGCTTTTTCCTATTGGCTGAATACCTCGACAGTTCATTAGTCACAGACAACTTTTTAATGTCTGCCTGATGAAAGGTTCCTTTGGTTCATTTGTACCAGCTTCTATTCCAGCCCAGGTGTCGGTCCTTTGCAGAAACATATAGTGACATTGTCTAACTTTCTGTTTGTATGGCTTTCAACCTTGTGTCACAAAAGTACAATCTTTGTCAAACTTGTCACAGAATGGTTAGCTATGACAAGAGAATGAGCCTTTATGAAATACCAAGGTCATAGGTCAAAGGTCAAGGTCAAACATGTTTGTAGGCAGGATACTGCAAAGGCTGTTTGGTCCTTTGATCTGGCATAACAAAAGAATTAAACCTTATTAGACGTCAGAGTTACTTGTGAACATTTATACATTTGTATTTAATTATTAAAAGTTATAATTTTGTTGTCATCTTTCACATATCTTAATTAATTGATGAAATTCATCAAATTTCATATACCGAATTCTGTAATACTAGAAAAGTACCAAGGGGTTTAATATTAGAAAAGTTCCAGGGTGTGTGTTACAGGAAAAATCCCAGGGTGTGTTATACTGGAAAAATCCCAGGGTGTGTTATACTGGAAAAGTCCCAGGGTGTGTATTACTGGAAAAGTCCCAGGGTGTGTGTTACAGGAAAAATCCCAGGGTGTGTTATACTGGAAAAGTCCCAGGGTGTGTATTACTGGAAAAGTCCCTGGGTGTGTTATACTGGAAAAGTTCCAGGGTGTGTGTTACGGGAAAAATCCCAGGGTGTGTATTACTGGAGAAGTCCCAGGGTGTGTATTACTGGAAAAGTCCCAGGGTGTGTGTTACAGGAAAAATCCCAGGGTGTGTTATACTGGAAAAGTCACTGGGTGTATTACAGGAAAAATCCCAAGGTGTGTTATACTGGAAAAGTCCAAGGGTTTTTAAATTTACTCACATGTTCATCAAGCCAAGGGAGGCAGTGTTGGCATTTACACAATCAATGCAATGTCATGAAAAAGAAGTTGATAATGGCAATTTGATTTTGAATTTGTCTGTGCTGTAGATTTACGTATTGACCCAGACTCTTCCAATGTGATTATCACTTTGTGTGTTATTGTGACATAACTTAATATGGAAAGAATTTGTCTCAGGGTCACCTTCATACTGTACAGAACACCAGTATGGTCCATCACTTAATACTCGAGGTGTCAGGTCACCTTCATACTGTACAGAACAACAGTATGGTCCATCACTAAATACTAGAGGAGTTAGGTCACCTTCATACTGTACAGAACACCAGTATGGTCCATCACTTAATACTAGAGGAGTTAGGTGGGGGTTTAGAGAGTAAATAATGCTGGAATTCATTTGTAACTTCTTCCTTTATGACAAAAAGCAGTTGCTGAAATTTATTGTTAAAGATAGACTTACAGGTAAGGTGATATTTGCAGTAAAATGTAAGTTTATATAAATTTCTTCACTTCTGCTAAACCCAGATCCTCTCTTTTTTCGGGACATATTTCATTTAGTTATTTCCAAACAGAAACTTTAATTGACAATATCTTTTCTCTTTATTTCATGAAATTGAAATTCTAAAAATTCATAAAACCACTAATCTGGTGGCTTGAGGGACTTCAGGTTAGGACAATGATTGAATTTTATAACAATGAAATTTAATGCAATTCATGTGTTAATTGAAGAATGATTTTCAATGAGTTATAGGAACAAATGGGCCTTTGGATGATTAGAAATTTAGATGCAATTTTTCTGTGTCTGTGGAGCATATAGATCATCCTTCGATCCAGATGTTTTTAGCCTAGTTTTGTGAGATTTGTATATAGGTGATTGACGGTATAGCTGTCGAAGTTGGTATAGCTACTGTTATAGGCCTATATGTATCGGCCTTGCCAGAAACTGACAAAAAATGCAAATTGTATGCTGCAGAATTTGTAGATAAAGGTGTCAGATGGTAGGTAATGGGGCTGCAATCTCTTCTCGTTGGTACAGTTACTTCATGGCACGTGGGTCAGATAAGTCCAGACACACACACACACATGTGAAAGTGCATGGCACATGCATGCATGCACACTAATGTATACAACAAACATTTTATCATAGGGACAAGAAAAATAGTAATATATGTACACATGTACAAATACATAACTTGATTTGTGATACCATGCAGTGATAGTGAACTTTAGTGGGAAAAGCTTTCTGTCTTTAGAGATCAAGAATAGAGAACTTCAGGAACCATATAAAATAATGTGATCTTGTCTTCATTGAGCTGGAATATTAAACCTTTCTTAAGGGACCAAAAATTGTGAATCAGTCTTTTGAGGAACTGTGACTAATAAACTTAATCTTCAGAGACCAAGAATGAAGCGAACATGTCTTCTGAGACAAAGAATGGTTGAACTGGCTTCAAAGACCTAGAATAATTCATTTGTCTTCAGGTGTAGGGTTCCCCGTACCACATACCTAAGTGTTGAACATATTTTCCAGCTTGATCATAGCTTTAATAAATTATTTTTGAAAAGAAAACCATACTTTGCAGGGCTTTTATAAAAATAATAAAGATAAAAGAAAAACAACAAAAAATCAACAATAGTGTTCTGAGTGAATTTATTTTTAGTGGGGATTGGAACACTGGACTTTAGATTGTTATACTTTCGCTCTAACCAATTGAGCTACTTGGTCAACGGAAGTGTCCCGGCCCAATTGTGCTTCAGTTATATCCAAACCCAAGTTAAAGCACAATGTAGTTGGACAGGAATCCCTAAGTGACAAGTGGAAACATCTTGAAATAGATGGACATAATGATTTACCTTCCTTTAAGAAAAGTTTTCTTAAAGTAATCAAAACCCTGCGCTGAGAAACAGAGAAAGTTGTTGTCATGCGGGCCCTGGTTTGTGTACTGTTGAAGGATCATCTGTCACTATTGTCTACGTATAACACTTTTCTCTCAGAGGAAACTATACCCTCCAAATACACAGAGCTCAAACGTGAATGATGACTATTTTTTAAATCCTATAGTTTCTCAACACATAATTAAAACATGTAGACATCCACTAGACAAAGTTATATAAATATCCCCTGTCTGTTCTGGCTCCTGTCAGCAGAATGTAATCGAATCATGTAGGAGTCGGTTCGTCACAATATTTCTAAAAGCATCCAGAAAAATTGTTCTAAAATGAAGATAATTGGCAATTATATTGTAACGTGTCTAAGTAAAAACAGGCCAACTTATAGCTCTTAATGGCCTTAATACGTAAAACAAATACGCTTTTTAAAAAAAAGAGCTTTTCTTGTGAAAGTTCTGTGACAGTGCCAAAACTGAAATCACCTGTATCAAATTATGTACCAAGATGAAAGATTGGGTATTTTCTCCAAGAATAATCTTACTGCAAATCACTTCAATTTTCATGTGCACTTAATTTTAGGAAATAAACCTATAGATTCTATTGCTAAAGGAATTAAAATTCCAAATGAAAAGATATCAATATTACTCTGTAGCTTCTTTTTTAGGTGGAATGAAAGTTAAATTATACACGGGTTATAATTTTGCGATATAAACATATGAAGGAACTAAATTTTCGCAATATTTGAGCACGGAGACAGGACACTCTGTATATATAAAGTGCTTTGGTAGGGCCTGGAGTAATGTATTGCTGTATTTATAATGTGCTGGGTTAGAGCCTTGGACTGTGCAACCTTAGAGATACACTATAATGGTTGGACAAGTTGTTTCTGACTTTGAACTCCATGAAAAGGGAGGTAACCCAGTTTAAGAGAGGACTGTTAAGTTTCCAGCAGTCACCTGTTCCCTACTCCATTTCGATTCCCTGCGGAGAGGCAGTGGTGTATGCTAGAATCGATTTCTTGTCATCTGTCATATGAGTACTGCCAACTAAACAGACTGAGTGACGGTTAAGACATTGACAATTCCTCTCACATTTCTGCATATGTATTTTTTTAGAAACATGAATAGGAAAAACATGTTCTTGTCTTATGATACAAAAGTCCATCTATGGTGACATGAAATCAATGCCAAATAGGTTCAGGATGATTATATTTCATATTTTCAATAAATCTACTTATTAAAATGTCAGGTATTGTGTGTTCTGCATACTATGCAGTAGACTCGGTGTAACATGTGCTGTTAGTTTGTAATCTCCAATGACATAAAAACCATGGAAAAGAAAAATAGAATTCCAAATAACGATATTGGACTATCTAGTGTATTATATTTAAGTGGACATACAGGCTGTGGCTCTCTATAATGAACTCTTTTGTAGAGTGAAGCTTACACTATAGGTTGGAAATACTGTCATGAAGAAGGTAAAAATATGTTCATGGAGTGGTCTTCTTAAAATTTTCACAAACGTGGGAATCTATTTAATCTCGTTTTTTCAATAACCTGTTGAATTCAGTTTTCGCAGCAGGTGTGACATTGTAAGGTGTTTGACGTCAGCTGGAAGCTGTGTAACGAAGAAAATGGTAACAATGATATATTTATAAACCTGTGGTACTTTTTCTGTCATTTCAGCTCTAACTACAGTAGTTGTGATCGTGCTGTTTGTAGTGTTAATGCCGGTGCTGGCCGTGTTTATATGCGTTGTGAGCCCCTGCAGATCTACGTCTCGTATGTGGCGTCGCTGGAGGACCCGAGACCGAGGTGTGGACCATCGTCAGTTACGGCCAGACTCTCAAGGATCAGAGGTAAACCACAACTAAAACAAAATTTTCAGTCATATTTTCCCACGATTATACCCTCGAAATGATTTGTCGAGCCAGTATAGTCATCAGACAGAACATTGATAATTAGTTCCTACATGTTCTTAAGAATGCTACCCTCCATAGACTTTGTATCATATGTGATTGTCATGAAACTTCATATAGTTATTTACAATTTGATGTTTGTGTTTTACGTCCTATTAACAACTATGGTCATTTAAGGATGTTCCAGGTTTTGGTGGTGGCGGAAAGCTGGAGTTCCCGGAGAAAAAAACACCGTCCTACGGCCAGTATCTGGTGACTGCTCCGCGTCAGGTACTGGCTGTAGGTCGGTGTTTTTTCTCTGGGAACTTATTTACAAACATCAATGTTTATGTGTTGAGCTTCTGAAGATAAAACTTGGTTTGCATTTCTAATAACTGAAATTTTTTTCAACGACTTCTTCTTAACCACTGATTGGAATTTAACTAAATTTGACTCGAAGCATCCCTAGGTGGTGGGGATTCAAATTTGGCTATATTGCTTTAAGCGACTTCTTCTCTGGAACTAAAAGATGGATATCAACCATATTGGATGGGAAGCATCCCTAGTTGGTGGGGATTCAAATTGTACAAATGGTAGAGCTGACCCCTCAGGGGCTGAGGGTGGGACCAAAAGGGGGCAATTTGGCTATATTGCTATAAACGACTGTAGAACTATGCCTTGGATATTGGAAGCATTCATGTGAGGCAGAGATTCAAAATTGTACAAATGGTGGGGCTGACCCCCCGGGCTAAGGGGTGGGGCCAAAAAAAGTTTATTACTTGGAAATGGTTGAGATCCCCACTGTATAACCATATATACAATTGCTGAGTATAAAGAGAAAAATGCACATTTGCTTCCAGGATGGCCCAAGGGTCTGGCCCCACCCTTGGAGACTTAGTCCCTGGGTCATAACTTTGAAATGGTTAAGATCCCCACCCCAAAACTATATACAATTGTTGGGCATAAAGAGACGAATGCAGTCATGATATTAGAATTGACCCCAGCGTTTGCCCCCACCCTTGCAGACTTAACCCCTGGGCCATAACTTTGAAACGGTTGAGATCCCCACCCAAAAACTATATATACAAATGCTGGGCAAAAAGAGACGAATGCAGTCATGATATTAGAATTGATTCTGCGGTCTGGCCACAACCCCAGGGACCTAGTTTCTGAGTCACAGCTTTAAAACAGTTGAGATTCCCACCCCATAACCATACATAAAATTGCTGGGCATGAAAAATCTAATACAGATATGCTACAAGGATTGGCCTTGGGGTCTGGCATATTCTCTTGGATCTCATTTGGAGAATATTTTGTCATGATTGTTAAGATATCCAGGCGATAAAGGCCCTCTGGGCCTTTTGTTTTATATAATTGTCATAAAACTTCACTAACTTGGGGTAAAAAACAAGGTAATCATTACTGAAAATAGAAATTTTGCCTTCATCACATCTGACTTCATTACAAATCTGATTGTCAGGAAACTTTGCATAAAACTTGGGTTGCAAAACACCTAAGTCATCATATTACTATAAAAACAGTGCTTGCCATCATTGCTTAAGGTTATAGGAGTGTATTGTTAAACAGAAATAGGAAGTACATCCCTAGTTGAAAATCCAATGAAGGGAGACAGTATCACAATTTCGCATATTCTAATGTTTAATATTAAACTTGATGGATATTGTATGCTTAATATTGACAGAACAGTGTGTTCTTTCAATATTAAAATATTGCAAAGCAATCCAGGCATTAATTCAGTACTACTAAATTAATTCTACTGAGAAATGGCGACACAATCCTATTACCTTAACCAACTTCATTTCTCACCGAATTATAGCAAAGTTTCACATGTTCAGAAACAAAACCTTGCATAAAAATATGCCATCATTCTAAAATAACTGTTACTCTAAATAGAACAACTGTTACTCTAAATAGAATAACTGTTACTATAAATAGAATAACTGTTACTATAAATAGAATAACTGTTACTATAAATAATGTATTTGACACCATTGCTTTATCAACTTCATTACTTTTCTAAATGCGCATATTTAAAGGGTGGAGACACAACATCCTTCTAATTCATAAAATAGATCTGCTTTGGATACAAGAGGTAATAGTTGTCCTGACAACCATAACTTCATAAACTTCCAAGGACAACAAAGCTGATCCAATAAAATAATATATTCATATTCGTTGGAACATTTTTTACATTTTTGGATTTTTGAGTTGACACATATCAGACACTCGGGCTCCAATAGATTTGTATCAAATTTGGGTAGATCAGCTGTGTTGTGCTCACTCCTGGTTATTATTACTGCTCTATATAAAACAGGTTTTGTTGCCTTTGTAGTACCATTATAATATACAACATTTGATATAGCACCCTATTTAGCTAACATAAGTCACACTAACGGGCTTTACAGTACAGAGATAAACAATTAATACAATTAATACAATTAACATATACATTAATCAATACTTTTTTTAGGAATTCACAGGAGCTGCCTTATCAGGTGCTAACTACTAGTCCTCTGCCACCTGGCTAATATCTCCCTATGTGCGTGTGTGCTGGAGATGTATTTTTTTATTTTCTTCTGAAGGATTCACAGACTTATTTAACTAGACTTGGGTCAAGGGAGGTTACTCGGGTGGTACTAATGATTTTTCTTTTGGAGCAGCATAACCAGTTGTTTATGCCCGTTAAGAGGGTAGCTTGTTATGTTATTGAAAAAACAAAGATCGGATCAAGGAAAGACCCCTCCCTTGACCATGTCCAGAATTTAATTAGATCAGTGTAAAATTACATGCTGTAATCATGACATATTCACTAATATCTCCAATTCTTTTTTTTCATAATTACATATTTTTCATATTTTACTTCTTACATATATATAAAGAAATATACTTTTTTGTCCCGTCCTGTCCCCCCCATCTACGATCCTGAAAATTTGTTCATGAGAACGATCAACCCAACTTGCAAAACTCCAAATTTAACATAAAAGCAGAATAGTTGATTTCTGAATCTTGAATGCATAAATTCTAAATATATATAATTTTTTTTCAATTTATCAGCTTTTGAAGAATCCTAATCTGCATTTTCATTGTTTCATTTGTATTGAATTAGAAAATAAAAAAAAGTGTAAATCTGATGATGATTTGAAAGATCACCTGCTTGTGCCATGCTTACTTGGTCTTATGAAGTCCCTTAATGGTGGAAACCAGACAGTAATGATAGGACCTCATTGTATATGGCGTGTGTGCATCATTAAGTGGGGAGGGAGGGCGGGCAGATCTAGGTGACATGTACTGTAGCTTGCTGCACGTGGAGTTTGCAGCAAGAACTGGATTTCCACATCCGACTCCTGTCATGTCATAGAGAAGATAGATCAATTTCTTTGGCTGTCGATGGCTGTGGAGACCTTACAACCATGTCCCACTGGCCTTTAAGATCTGACACTGAAGGAAAAATAGATTAAATTGCAGGCAAAAATCTTCAAATAGCTACATGATCGTAATGCAGAAAGGCCTACTGCAGTCATAGAGAAAAAGATTGTGACGAAGACACCGGGTATTTATACTGTGACCTTATCTTTGACCCCAGGCAAATGCAATCGCAGCAACATGCTTGTATCAAACACCGAGCCTGCACAAGTCTGTCCTGTCGTGTTTAGTTCTTATGTCCTAAAAAACAACAGTCATATAAAATATCACCATTTAGCATCAAATTATTCATGTCAAATCTATTTGAATTTCATGCATCATGCAAAAGCACCTTTCTTTTCAATCCTAGTTTTTCAGTTGATTGATACCGATATAAATTTTAAGTACTTGTAAATGATAAATATATGAACTTTTTTTTACAGTTAAACAGTTTTTTTCGATAGAAGGAATATATAATTATTTTCAATATCATTTACATGTTGTACAGTATACTACGCGGACAATTTACTTGAGCATTTACCTAGGTTTTACCTACAGAATATGTGCTTAAAATGATTTTTTATTTTTGCAATGCAGATATGATCTGCCATTAACAAAATATTTGAGTTCCCGGATCAGTTCATCTAACCTATGTAATAAATCCTCAGATCGATAGTTGGATATACACAATAGAACATCTTGATCAGACTTGTAAAGATGAATCGTAAAAATAATCAACAGGTGTTCACATTGGATATGGAAGTCATAAGTAATATGAAGTTAGGGATCGGATTATAAATTGATTGAGTTATTAAGAGTTATAACTGATTCTAGTTTACTTAACTCATTAACCCCTGAAGACACATTTGAGCTCTTCTGATTCAAAGGATTGAAGAGTTCATTATGAAACTCAAGGGGTGAATGAGTCAAGGATTCCCATTCTACTGCACAAAAACTGGGATGATGAACTGGAAACATTTATATTGGCAATTGAATATCTTTAATAATAAATTATTTTTGAAAAGAAACCCCTACCTGCCGAACAATTGTAAAAAGTTATAAAGATGAGTTTCTTAAATTGAAAATGCAATGGGGCCAGACTGGGGTTTGAACTCTGGACCTCCAATTATTATCCTGTCGCTACGGACTTAGCTACCTGGTAGGCGGTAGTACCAATATACAGGTGTGCATCAACTCAGTTAATGGAGATTACTGAAAGTATAGTAAACTAGAGTGGAACTCTCTTGTGTTTTACCTGCAGTCGGACAGGGACCCTTAACTTTGGTAACACCTTTATGATATAATCAATGTACTGAGTCTACAGCTGAAGTACTTGTCTTTGGCTTAAGCAGGTTGTATTGAAGTGACTTAGCTCATTCACCCCTAAAGACATATTTGAACTCTTCCAATTCAGAGGTTGGAATAGTTCATTATGAAATTTGGGGAGTGAAGGAGTTAAACTTGTCTTTCAGATTGTACTCAAGTTACTGTCTTTGTTTAGTGCCTTTGGTCGTCTCAGATTATGACTATTCTAAATGCCTTTGTCAGACTGGTAAGTAGGCTGTATTGAACTTATTTTGGCTTTGCTAGATTGTACTAAACTATTTTTTTTGTCTTCCGCAGGTTGTATTCATCCCCCCTACCACATCGTCCCCTAGTTCTACAACCACGCCGGCCCACCTAGAGCAGCAAATTGCCCTGATGAGGGAGCGCCACACACTTTTACAGTCGGCGCGCACTGGCATGGAGATAGGCATGCCCTCCTCGGTACACATCTCCCAGGATGGCGAGGAGGGGTATGCCGAGAGCCAGAAACAGCTGGCCCATCACTCAAAACAGGAGATCTACCAGCCCTGCTTTAGACCTCCGCCTAACAAGACAGTATACGACAAGGATAGTCCCCCGCCGTACTACGCTGTGAAGGGCCTCGGCCCATCCTCCCAGGGGGTATCCCCCGGGGCACTGGTACAACACTCAAATGGCTGCTCCATGATGGTGCAGTGTTTTAATTTGTCAAATAACAATGAGCAGCACAGTGATGGCTGCCTGCGACAGCCCAATCAGTGTAGGACTAGTGGCCGTGGTGGTGTGTCTCCTAATGTCGGCAGTGCCCCACGTGTACATGTCGCGCACGATAGTGCAATAGACCTTGGACGGCATAGTGCGTCTGGGCTTGACCGACCGCCAGACTACAGTGCGGTGCTAGCATCTAGGACAAGTGTGTGTAGTAACAATAATAAATCCCCTGCGGGCGGACATGTCTGATAGCGACCATGCTGGCGACATCTAGAGGAGGGAGGCGCGGTCAAGGTTATGGATGTAGGTCAAAGGTCATATGGATAAAGCCAGCTGTGATACAGATTTTGGGGAAGTGAATTACAACATCATCTAATTAATGCTTTTACTTTGTATTGTGAGATAAAAAAAATGACAAAAATACACAAAAAAAAAATAAAAACCAAAAACTGATTGATTCCTCTGTGAGAGCTACACAATACCAAGGCCACTGATTTGTATTGTAAAGAAATTGTGTCCCTCATTTTACGAGGGAAAACATTTGTGCAGACTACGTTTTAAACCCCTCCCCCCCACATTTATGGAGAATATCTTTGTGCTCAAGGTACAACAGTTGTTATAGTAAGTCATCAGATGGGTAGGCACCCTAGGTGCTGCATATTTCCATTTTCTGTTGTACAACCTGATCGTCCGGCTACACGCACAGCGAGCGTCGAGGTGTGACGTGTATGTACAGTCGCGCTAGTGATCCTATATAGGTAAACCCAGTCTGTCAAACAGCCTTACTTCTATATAAACATCAGTGTATGTCTGTCTGCCTGTCCATCAGTGGAGGACCATGTCTCCCACGCTCAAGCGACCCTGCGATCAAGGTCACTCCGGGTGGACTATGTGCTTGTATCTGGAGTGTCAGGGAGTTCAACACTTGTGTAAAGTGTTTGTACTCGATCCAGAGTCTAAGCTGGCTAAATATCATCCTCATGCTTGTGTTGTTTTTAAGAAGAAGCTTTTTTTGTCCAATTTTACAGCTATGATGGTGATCTTGTTGACTTAGTGTGGAGAATGAGGTTAGTGGTTACTGTAGTACTGCTCTGCCTAGTGTGGAGAATGAGGTTGGTGGCCACTGCAGTACTGCTCTGCCCAGAGTGGAGAATGAGGTTGGTGGCTACTGCAGTACTGCTCTGCCTAGTGTGGAGAATGAGGGTGGTGGCCACTGCAGAACTGCTCTGCCCAGTGTGGAGAATGAGGGTGGTGGCCACTGCAGTACTGCTCTGCCCAGTGTGGAGAATGAGGTTAGTCGCCACTGCAGTGCTGCTCTGCCCAGTCATGTATGCAGTATATATATAATGTTATATACTATGTTTTTTAAATTTTTTTTTTTTTTTTTTTATTCATGAAACATGAATCTCTTTTTCTGCCTTCTTTCTCACTGTCTGTCCATCAGTTCTCTCTGTCAGTACATCAAGTACCCTTTTCATTATTGAATAGAGATTTAGCCTACAACAGTAATAGTACAGTTCATTGAACCATCAGCAATGGGTTTATGTATGTGACTAATGTTTATGATAACCATGCAATTTGTTTTAAAATTTGTGACCTGTGTTCCTCAAAAAACAACATTACTTGCTGCAGAATATGTAAATGTATGCATTCAGGTAGTCTGTGCTAAATAATTGAGTCATATCATCAGGAGTTTTCAACATATAGGAGAACCTGAATGCATCAACATTACACCTATATAATGTACCAATTAATCCTTTCACCACTGTAGACCATAATGGACTCATCGAGATCAATGCATGGTAGAGTCTATAAAAGTTACATAGGGTTGAAAGGGTTATGGCCAATTGATCTTGTATCCATGTTTACTTTACCGTTTATAAACCGAGGAAATAGACGTGATTCTCACTGTATTAGTCAAGAGTTTTAAAAAGAATACCAGAAAAACAAACTTGCCTATTACCCAGATATAACACAACTAACTGTGAAATCAGATATTTTCGTCTGGGCCCAAATTTGTGGTTTCCTGGAAATCTACCATTTCAAGAGTACCCACTCACACGGAGAATTATTCTATGTCAAACTTGTAATTTCTTTGTGAACATAAAGAATTTGTGGATGAGGATTACCCAAGAAATCAACGAAATTAAAAACCCACGAAAAAATTAGCGATTTCATAGTATAAGAGATCGTAGATACCATGTAATGATGGTCTTATATTTTATTTAAATTGTGAGAAAAATTGTGAGAAAAAAATCTCCCTATCTGCACCCTGATATAATGAGTTTGGTGATGGTCTTATATTTATGGACTAAATTGTGAGAAAACATTCTCCCTTTTCTGAATCCTTGTATAGTAAGGACCGTTAACCCAGGTTCAAAGGACCACCAATGGAATTAATCAAACATGGAAATGTCTGAGCGCCTATCACAAAGCTAATAACAGATATCAACATATATATGTTACTCTATAAGATGAATGGTTGCTGCTATAAAGCGTGAAAGAAATATCAGAGGATTTATTGTTTTGTTACCATTAAAATGAAAAACATTCTTAAATGTTTCTGAAATATCTTTTTTTCATTTACATTTCAGCTACTTCAACAGATTACTGCGGTGAAGAATATGATCAATTAATACTCTAAAACCTAATTACAGATTTCTTTTTATCAATTGTCATTTCAAGTCTGTCTGAATATAGCTATATTTAGTAAGTTATCAAAACAAAATTGTGTTTTCTGGTCATTACTTGAACATTAATTTACATGAAAAGCTACAAATATTTCGGTGAGAAAAAATGGATTGAAATAATATCAGCACAAGTTTTTATATTGTTTGAAGTTTATCAGCATCCCAGTTATAGACAGGTAACAAACCTATTGTTAGACAGTTGTCGGTCAATTTTCCTATGAATTTTACTAAAGTAAATACATAGAGCTTTATTATTATACTTAAAACTACAGCAAATAACATTCCTGGCACAGAAGTACAGAGAAGAAAAGAAATGGCCGATTTGTCATGGTACATTGGGTACTCTGGTCCTGTCAAATGTCGGTTTAGGAAGACCTCTGGAACTGTTTGGAAACTGTGAAATCAGATATTTTCATGAGGCTCAAATTTCGTGGTTTCCTGAAAAAACACTATTCCGTGGGTACATGAATTTGTGGATCACGAGTACCCACTAACACAGAGAATGGCTTAATGTCAGACTGTGTAGACCTTTGAATTCGTGGATGAAAATTACTCCAGAATCAATGAAATTATGAACCCCACAAAGACTAGTGATTTCACAGTATGTTCAATGATAAACTCTATCATAGTCACCTGGACTAATTTTATTGTATTCTTGACAATCACATGTATTTCAAAACGGTTTGTATCAAGTTGTATGTACACAGTATGTGGAAGCTAATTCACAGGAAAAACAGTGGTTTGTAAAACCCAGTGTCATAAGTGTGCGGATAACAGTAGTTTATAAAAGTGTGGTGTCTTTGGTGTGTGGATAACAAAGATAGTTGAACTCATTCACCGCTGAAGACGCATTTGAACTCTTCCAATCCATAGGTCGGAATAGTTCATTATGAAATATCAGGGGTGAATGAGTTAATGGGACATATGAATACACACACATTCTGTACAGTCACTAGAAATCTACAACGTTCATCCCTATGTTCCTACTTGCACTCCACTCTCCCTTTGAAGTGAATCAGTCTAAGTGTGGGACGAGGGTGGAGAGGTCAAGACCAGGCCAATCGCCTCACCATTTTTGTATAACATGTGAACCATTAGAGGCAGACTTCTAGACATTGTTTCTGGATATAAATTATTGATGTCACAGATAAAAATAAAGTCTGACTAATATTTTATTTTTTTTTAAGCCAGGGAAAGAAAGTTTTATGGGTTCTTGTTTTCTTGTTGAAATTGGTAGTACATTTTTGTTGTTAATAAAGGTATCTGTATAAAGTTTTCAAACGGTCTACAATAAACTGAAAAAATAGACTGGAAGTCTGCTCGAATGTTCACCATTTTGAAAAGCCTTGGTAAAGGGTGGGCTCGAGGTGTAGAATTGGTCACATACCTGTAACAGTGGAGGTAAGGGTGGGCTCGAGGTGTAGAATTGGTCACATACCTGTAACAGTGGAGGTTCAGTATGAGCAAATTACAATGAATTGAAAGCAGTTAAAACTATAATTTATTACACTGTCAATAAGGGTGTTCCAAGGTTGTAAGGTACGGTTTGTTTTGAACAGAAAACATTCATATAAAATGGACTTGAAGCATGAATGTTTTAGTCTCCCTTTGTATACACAGGTTGATTTGGTATTGCAGAGCTTCCTTTGTTTATTATTCACATTGAATGCAGCAACTGAGATAGACCCTTACTCAAGTGTTCATGTATAAAAGGCCCAAACTCCTTAAAACAGTTTAGTTTTCACAAAGTAAATTTTTGTCATAGTGCATTTATCATTGATTGACAATTTTATCCACAAACAATATTATAAAAAAAATCTTTTGTACTCAAAAATGAAATGAAGAAATAGATACGTATTTTTCCAAGCTTAGGTTTTTCACCGGATTACTTTACGAGAAGTGAAAAAGACATAATTTTGAAAAACCAAATTTTACTGGAATTCGCATCAAGTGCATTACCTGAATATTGCATTATGGCACAAACTTCATTTCGTGAAAACTTGTTCATGCTTCTGTATTATATTAAAAAGAAAGTTGAATTTCAATATGGACAGCCTAAGCCATCCAGTATAAAAAATTTCAAGTTGCTTAAAGTGACTTTGTTATGTTGAAACTGTGTGTTACAAATTGTACTAAAGTTTCTTTTGTATGGAGAAAAATGTATCTTCAGTTTAAATGAAGGACATGTTGCTTATGTTTTACTGTACAATATATATATATGGAAGAAGGGAGATAATTCCCATATTTTTCTGATAGAAAAAAAAGTATGTTTAATTTATTTCTCTGTTGTATTTTTTCATTTTTTTTTTTGTTTTTACTTACGAAGTAACACTGATATGTTTTGCATTTTCATTTGAAAGTATTCATCAAGATGTTTTAAATTAAAAATATAACTTGCTCTTGTTAGTTGTAACTGGCTGCTTTTAGCAGCAAAAGTTGTCTGATAAGAATGGATGGTTGAAAACAACAATTCTCAATGCACAGCCCAAATGTGTTTTACAAGTGTGTAAAGAATTGCTTGTTAAATTTGTTACAAAGTATTGTTATTTCAATCTAATGCCCCTACATGTTATATAACTGTAGTGTTTTGTTTATGTCGAGATTAGGTTTTGAAATGGACTCTCTCAATCATTAGACATTACCTTCATTTCCATTTGACTTCCAAAAATATTTCTCATGAAAACGAACAACACACCCAATTAAATGATTGATTTGATATTTAATACAAATAAATGTAATTGGACATTTAAACAAATTTACAGTCATATTATTGTTAAAAAAGAAAGAAAAATATTTTGTTTGAAAATAGATAAAGGATATTTAGGGTTTTTATTCTTTCTCTTGTAGAAATATGGCCACACTTCACCTTCAAGTAAATACATGTACATTTGTATCTAACATAAGGAATGACCAAGTGTTGTGTTCACAAGCCTATCATCCCTATTGCTGATGTATTCACCCCCAGGGAAATGTCCTTTTATCAACTTAGTGGTGTAGGCAGTTATTGCTAACTTTTAATAATATTATAAGAGTAATCTTTATTAGAAATAATTGTACTTGATTTGTTACAACCAATATGATTGTGTTTTAGTCACGACAGTCAAAGTTAAACCCTTTCATAAATGTAGACCATAATGAACTTGTCCATATCAATGCACAGTAGAGTCGACTCAGGTTACCTAGGTACGAACAGATTACTTACATGTACAACCAGGAACAGAGGTTTGTTGTCTAGAACACTTTTAATTGCATTTAATTGTTTTAAACAGATTTTACAACCTGGTTTGTGAATATCTTTTATGGAAATTGAGATAAGTAATTTTTCACCGACTACTCGGTCGATGTAACGAAGGTAATGTCCAATGATACGTGTGATGTTTAATGTTGATATTTTTACAAACGAAAGTAAAAAAGTTAACAATTTCTGATTATCGTTTATCCTTTCATGATCCTTCACGGATTACGAGTGACCTTTCAAGGTCAACGGTCAGTGATGGTTCGGCCACTAAATCTGCTATGTGCCATATGTTTTGACTGGTTTGTTCAGTGATGGTGGATCCACGTTAAATGTAAGCTGCTGCCTTCCAGTAATACACAGTTACATCCCAAACTGTAGAAAATTTTAGTAAATATTTTCATCAAAAACTTGAAAATAATTGACAAGTCAAATTTAAAAATAATACCAATAGCATAATGATTGTCTTTAAGGGCTGTTTCAGTTATAATTTTTACGTAGGAAATCTATAATGCTCCCATGTTTTGAAAGAAATTGTTTTTTGGGGAGCTGCTGCAATTTTTGTTCCCATTTGATTGCCCCGATCGCGGCACTAGCTGAGAGGAATCCTTGATTGCCCCGATCGTGCTGCCCTAGCCGAGAGGAATCCTTGATTGCCACGATCGTGCTGCCCTAGCCGAGAGGAATCCTTGATTGCCCCGATCGCGCTGCCCTAGCCGAGAGGAATCCTCAATATATATATCTATCTGTTACTTGCCACCAATCTTGATCAGGCCAGTCATTCTCCCACTTTCCATCTTGCTTTTGAACACTTTGGGTGCATATCATTTTTTCTCACTGCATGCTTAATGTGTGGGAGAGAGCGGTCACTGACCAATATATTACACAGGCTCGGTCACTGCAGACAGATTGTGTGGTGTAGAGCGGTCACTGTGACCTACACTCGGTCACTTCAGACAGATTGTGTGGGGCATAGAGCGGTCACTGTGACCTACACTCTGTCACTTCAGACAGATTGTGTGTGGCATAGAGCGGTCACTGTGATCTACACTTGGTCACTTCAGACAGATTGTGTGTGGCATAGAGCGGTCACTGTGACCTACACTTGGTCACTTCAGACAGATTGTGTGTGGCATAGAGCAGTCACTGTGACCTACACCTGGTCTGCCACTACTGTGTTTGGTAGAATGGGGTGGAGGTGGCCTGTATGTTACACTAGCTCTGTCACACTATACAGCTTGTGTGGGAGGAGTGCGATCACTGTGACCTGTTAACTACAATCACTCGGTCAGTACAGACAGATTGTGTGTCATAGAGAGGGGTCACTGTGGCCTGTTTATTACACTTGCTTGGTCACTTCAGACAGCTTGTGTGTGTATGTGCATGTAAGAGGAGAGAGAGAGAAATTCAAAACTAAAAAAAATTATTGTGCGAGTTGAGTGTGGAGCAAGTGGGATGCTGTTTAAGACTTTGAACAGCCTGGGTGAGTGACATTGTGTCCAGTAGCTGTAACAGCCTCGATGTAAGGGAATGTATTCAGCAGATGTAACAGCCTGGATGTGTGGGAATGTGTCCGGTAGCTGTAACAGCCGGGATGCAAGGGAATGTGCCCAGTAGATGTAACAGCCTGGCTGTAAGGAATGTATGTCCAGTGGCTGTAACAGCCTGGATGTAAGGGAATGTGTCCTGTAGCTGTAACAGCCTGGATGTAAGGGAATGTGTCCGGTAGCTGTAACAGCCTGGATGTGAGGGAATGTGTGTCCGGTAGCTGTAACAGCCTGGATGTAAGGGAATGTGTCCGGTAGCTGTAACAGCCTGGGTGTGAGCCAATGTGCCCAGAAGCTTAGAGGAGCTGGTCTGTATGAGAATAAGTGTCATCACATGATGAATGGTCTCTCCTTGTGTATCTACATATAAACTATTTTTATTTATAATTAATGGCAAGCAGAGACAGAGCCCTCTGCTGAAGATTAAAATATAAGTAACTTATTTCCAGATGTTTGTCATTTTTAGGTCACCTGAGCTTTAGCTCAAGTGACCTATTGCTATCCGTCTTCGTCCGTCGTGGTGCGTCGTCCATTAAGATTTAACATTTTCAACTTAAGCTGAAATACTGTCAAAGGAACTTAATTGATACTTCATCAAATTTTACTGACATCTCCGGGGGATCCATGACCAAGACTTAGTGTTGTTATTTTTCAGGTCGATCAGAAATCCAATATGGCAACCATTTTGAAAATATATTTCAAACTTTAAAGTCAAGCTCTACTGGGCCGATTTAACTGAAACTTGGTAGGAATGATCGACTCACGATCCTGGCAAAGTGCTCTCTTTTTTTTCGGGCTGATCAGAAATCCAATATGGCTACTACGACCGCCATTTTGAAGAAAAAAATACTTCAAACCGATTCAACTGAAACTCGGTCCTGAAAAACTTAACTTAACATTATACTTAACTTTCTTTTACTCAAATTGGTAATGATGATTGACATCATTATCTCCACTTCATATTTTAATAACAAAAATATATATTGTAGGACTCGGGTGACCGTTAAGGCCCATGCAGGCCTCTTGTTTACACTGCTACTGTGTTGTGCGTTTGGCATCAAGTACTACAAAAGAACCGACTGCGCTCAATATAAGGTTGAAAACTTTAAAAAAACGTTTGACAATTTCAGCAAGAAAAACCTATACCAGATGGACATATGTTACACAGAAACTTCAGCTTACTGTCATCCTGTTCGGTCATCTTTCATCTTCCTCCCCCCTCTCCCCTAAATACTTCTTTTGGCACTGATAAAACTTTAGTAAGCTTATTGTCAGAATCTAGTGGGGTGACATGCTACCTCATACAGCGAGACATAATATAGTGTGGTGACACGCTACCTCATACAGAGAGATAGAATATAGTGGGGTGACATATGCTACCTCCTACAGCGAGACATAATATAGTGTGGTGACACTCTAAATCATACAGAGAGACAGAATACAGTGTGGTGACACGCTACATCATACAGAGAGATAGAATATAGTGGGGTGTCATATGCTACCTCCTACAGCGAGACATAAGATAGTGTGGTGACACGCTACATCATACAGAGAGATAGAATATAGGGGGGTGACATATGCTACCCCCTACAGCGAGACATAAGATAGTGTGGTGACACGCCACCTCATCCAGAGAGACAGAATCTGGGGTGACATATGCTATCTCCTACAGCGAGACATAAGATAGTGTGGTGACACGCTCCCTCATACAGAGAGACATAATCTAGGGGTGTTACATTCTACCTCATACAGAGAGACAGAATACAGTGTGTTGACACGCTACCTCATAGAGAGAGACAGAATATAGGGGGGTGACATGCTCCCTCATACAGAGAGACAGAATACAGTGTGGTGACACGCTACCTCATACAGAGAAACATAATCTAGTGGAGTGACACGCCACCTCATACAGAGAGCCATAATCTAGGGGGGTGACATGCCACCTCATCCAGCGAGCCAGACTATAGTATGATGACACGCTCCCTCATACAGAGAGACATAATCTAGTGAGGTGACACTCTACATCATACATCGAGACATAATCTAGTGGGGAGACATGCCACCTCATACAGCGCCTCATACAGCGAGACAGAATCTAGTGGGGTGACAGGCTACCTCATACAGAGAAACATAATCTAGTGGAGTGACACGCCACCTCTCATACAGAGAGACATAATCTAGTGTGGTGACATGCTACCTCATACAGCAAGACAGAATACAGTGTGTTGACACGCTACCTCATAGAGAGAGACAGAATATAGTGGGATGACATGCTACCTCATACGAGATAGAATATAGTGGGGAGACATGCTACCTCATGCAGAGAAACAGAATATAGTGGGGTGAAATGCTACCTCATGCAGAGAAACAGAATATAGTGGGGTGAAATGCTACCTCATGCAGAGAAACAGAATATAGAGGGGTGACATGCTACCTAATACAGCAAGACATAATCTAGTGGGGAGACATGCCACCTCATACAGAGAGCCATAATCTAGGGGGGTGACATGCCACCTCATCCAGCGAGCCAGACTATAGTATGATGACACGCTAACTAATACAGAGCGACATAATCTAGTGCGGTGAAATGCTACCTAATACAGAGAGATAGAATATAGTGGGGTGACATGCCACCTCATACAGCGAGACAGAATATAGTATGATGACACGCTACCTCATACAGAGAGACATAATCTAGTGCGGTGACATGCTACCTCATACAGAGAGACATAATCTAGTGGGGTGA